TTTTCGGGATGGGAAGATGAGGGGAGGGGACACCTGGAGGTAATCTCTGAGACCCACCAGAACCTGTATCGATAACGTAGGATGGACCCACTAGCCCAGCACGTCCTGTGCCCCAAAGGGACCTGAGCGGCCTCACGGCCGCTGGACGAAAAATACACACACACACACACACACACACACAGCTCTGGTCGTGCCCGCTGCCGGTCAAGGCTCTTTCACGGGCAGCGGCCAAACAGTTCCAGCCAAAGCTGGTACTGTACTCTCCAGTCCCTGTCGGCACTGTTTTCTTTAGGGTTGGCTGGTGTGTGGCTTCGTTGCGTCGTAGAAACGGCGCTTCCTGGGCGAAGACCAGGCCTGCCCGCTGTGGCTCCCCTGAACGCCGAGACTGGCTCAACGGCGAGTCACCGCTCGTCCAACGGCCAGGGTTCACCCTACAGCCAAGATTCGCCCGACATCCAAGATTCACCCTAAAGCCAAGATTGGCCCTACACCCAAGGATTGGCCCTATACCCAAGAATGGCCCTATACCCAAGATTCGCCCGATATCCAAGAATGGCCCTATACCCAAGATTCACCAGGCGGCCAAGCTTCGTCCGAGACCGGCTACAGCTTGCATGCAGATGGTCACACGGCGAATTCGGTCGCCACAAGACAAAGGGCCTCTACAATCGTCGGCCGTGGACATGGGCCTCTATCGTATCTTGCGCCCCTCGCGCCACTCCACTACCAGGTTGAACACGGCCATCGCGTTCGTCATCTCCTGCCCACAGACCAGCTTTCCGTGCTTCCGACCTAGCCACGCGCAATAATCCTCCCCGTTGCTGATCTTCTGGCCCGCAAGCTCCTGCACCATGCCCCAGAGCTCGTCGTCCGTGCTGGCGGCGTACGCCACGGGTATGACAACGTGTTTCCGTCGACAAGACTCTCCCCGCGTTTGATAGCCTTCAGTGCAGATCTGCTGCGACACGTGGCAGAAATAGCAGCTGAGGAACGCCGCCTGCGGATCGCGACGATAGTTGATGCCCCTCTGGAACTCCATGCACTTGGAGAAGCTGAGGCCGTCGTCGAGCTCGTTGCACACGCCCCACTTATGGTTGGCCGCGCCCGAGCCCTCGAACATCCAGCATATGACGCAGGCCATGCTCTGCAGCTCCGCCACGGTCTCGAGTGCGGACTGGAGAAGCTGCATGCCGCGAGAAACCTTCTTCACGAATGCCTCCGACATGATCTGGCCTTGAGACGACAGCTCGCTCTTCCACTGGAGCTTCTCGCGTTGGCAGTTGTCACAGGGCACCGCGTCTATGCGATCACAGTCGCGCAGGTCATTGTCGAGACACCGGCCTAGGACGCTCCGTCGGCAGCCGCTGGTCCGAATCAGGGCATTGACCTCGCGCGTCTTCAGCTCAAGCGTAGCCTCCCTCTTCGGGTCCTCGGTTGGCCAGTCCCTTTCCTCCACGACGATGACCGCCTCCACGCGCTCCCCCGCCCTGCCCGCGCGCCCGGCCTCCTGCGCGTAGTCGATGATGCTGTATGGCGCACCGAAGTGGATGACGTGCGTGATGCCGGGCACGTCTATGCCGGTACCGAGGGCGGACGTGGCGACGATGTATGGGCTATCCCCGCGCAACCACGCCTGGAACCCCTCCTCCCGTTGGGCGAGGAAGTGGGCGTCGGCGTCGTCTGGAGTGCCGTGGTAGTAGTGGCACTTTAGCTGGAGGGCCAACATCTGGCACTTGGCGTGAGTCGCGCAGTAGACGATCCCCTTGCCGCCGCCACCACCTTTTGTCGTCAGTCCGAGCCGGGCCTTGGCCCGCCGTATCACTTCCGTGACGCCGCGGCCGTTGCCAACTCTTTGAACCAAGTACTCGACATTCGTTCGGTGACTCGACGCGCGGATGTAGAGCGGATTCTGCAGCTGCATCGCCTCTTCGAACTCGCGCTGGCACCAGGGTGGTTTTCCATACCCAAGTATGGAAATACCCTTTCCATACTATTGTATGGACAGGGTATGGACATGGATCCATAGTATTTCAATACTCATTCAATAATTGGCCGAATAACGCCACTGACCGGGGCCCCGGCCAGTTCATCGTTCAGGGGTCTCAAGGGCCTTGAACCTCGCTAAAACCCACACAAG